AATCACGGTACTGCGGAGTTGTTAAAATGTTTTATCCTTACTTAGTGGTTGAAATTTGGGGGACGAGATTTATTTTAACGGGGGGTGATTGTAATACCCTAAAAATTTAAATATATGAATTACATATTCATAATTATGAATATGTGAAGAAAATCAAAAGTAAATCGATGTATGGGTACGGAAATAAAATTTGGGAAATTGTAAAGTTTTGTTTCTAGACATTATGATAATATATGTATTGGTCTTATTGAGTTTTTTTGTTATTTTTCGAGAAATTATATTAAATTGTTTGAGATTAGTTTTTAAATTAAACTAATTACGAGGTTTAAAGTTTGGAAATTAATTATTTAAAATTTATAGACCTTTTGAGGTCACAATTTATATTTTTGAATAGAGCTCGATCTCATGAATGTGTAGGCGCAAACTGTTCGTGAAACGGTGTTTTATCGAAGAAGTTATTAACGTTTAAAGTTGGGGGCAATTTAGTAAAATAGCTGAGTTCAAGATAACTCCATATTTTTAAAGAAAAATCTGGAAGGCCACATGTGTGGCCGAGATTTGAAGACAAAAAAGATGGGCGGTGGAGATGGTTTATAAAGGAGGGAAAGAAGGGAGAGAGGAGCCAATAAGGAAAGGGGGAGATGATTGAGGGACCAATGGGGAGAGAGAACCGGGAGGGAAAGGAGAGAAAGAGGACACGGGGAATCAGGACTCGGGCCTTGGCGACCCGACCCGGTTCGGCGCTACACACATTTTCGACAGAATTTCACCCCTTTTTCCGGTAAATTGGATCAATCAACCATTTGGAAACCCCTCCATGACCTTCCCTCTCCCTATTACCCCAAAAAAATTCATGAAGTTTGGTCTTGAAATTTGGAGGAACACACCCAAGGGTGCTGCGACATACCTTGCTTAAATTCAACCAAATCTGAAATGAATTGATTAAATTTCCACTACCAGTAGACTCTTATTAACCCCAGGAACAAACCCCAAGCAATGGTTGGGGCGTCGGAGTTTGTTTGAAGTCGAATTAAGGATACCCATTTCTAGAGTTCCAGCGGGTTTGGGCCAAATTGGAGCTTTTCTAGACCAAATTGGACTTGGCAACAGGTATGAAGTTTTCTCTACTCTTTGAGATCTTCATTTCTGTAATTTTTGAGAATTTTTAGAAATAATTGAATTTTCCGGCGAGTCGGGACGGCCGACCGCCACCCGCGGCTGCAGGTGCGGCGACGCATGGCCAGGGAGCCGATAATTATGTTTTATGTGAATGTCGTTATTTTAATTATGTTTTTTACATCAAATTGTTGCGGTTTGAATATTAATATGGGTTTGAATATTAATATGATTTTGGAGTATGTGAACTACGAAAGGCTTGATCTTACTCCAGGGTACGTAGGCGGTCTAACAATGTTAGATGCAACCTTAAATAATCGAGAATTTCACTTTAATTGAGAATTATTCTTATTTTGAGACCTTTGGTCATTTGAAAGGAAATGGAAATATCTTGAGATTATAATTGTGTGGTTGTTCAAATAATAATATTTATGAATCATATTGGAAATGAGGACATTTTCTATAAAGTGTAATAAATAAATTTTAGTACAAAAATTTGGCAAGGTAACTATACGTTCTAATCTTTAATTAACATTGATGGTTTTTTTATGTGAATGAGTTATTTAAATAAAGATTTGTGTTTTAAAATTTGCTAAATAAAGCAGTCGTGGCAAAGCTACATCGAGCGGCAAGCAGGCCATAAGATGAAGAAGTGGAGTTCGTGGTGCACACAAGAGGTGGTGGAGTTTGCAATTGGGTGTCATCGTGGCGCGGCAACAGCAGGAGCGGCGCTGGGCGAGGGTGTGGATGACGATGGATGTGTCGTAGCCCAACCTTGTGAAGGCACGGTGGAAGAAGAAGAGAATGCGTCTGAAAGAAGCTGGCTGTTGCAGTCATGGTGGCTGTTGCAGTCGTCGTGGAGGGAGACCTGTTGGAGACACGGCTGAAAAACCTGAGAAGGCCCTTTTATAGAATAAGGGGATCTGAGAAGGCTTAGGGTTTGTGAGGGTGAGGAGGCCCTTTTATAGAATAAGGGCTCCACCCATTTTTACATATTTGCCCCTCCATTTATTACATAATTACATTTGAGTCCTCTGAGTATTTATACGAGGTCTAAATACAGAGGTCCTAAGTATGGTATAAACACAGCTCTTTTCTTACCGCCTCAGTGTTTCTTGGGTCTTCAATGACGACTCTTCAGTAGTTAGCTCGTGCAATGGAGTCTCATTTAACTCAACTTGTGGACCATTAGGAAAAACTTGGTACTTTGGAGTATGCTTCACAATGTTTCAATATTCATGCCTTGTGAATGATTTCTTGTTATCAAGATTGAACTACATTTGTGCTTATAGTTGTTGAAAAAAAATTGTGAAACAACATAAAATTTACATAACAAAGGTTAAAATAATAACATATTAATTACATTTTTAATTTATTAATAATAAATATTATTAACACATTGGCTAGATTAATTATCGCCACTTCGATAAATTCCTTCCTCTTTTGTGATGGCTTCTTGCCAAGCTTTTGAATCTTTTTGCAGTTGTTTGTACTTACTAGCCAGAAATTGCTTGATCCAAGATGTACCTTGAATCAGTTCGACAAATTGTCCATGATCCTTCTTCCACATATGTTGCACCTTGATCTTATTTCCAGTCATTGAGTATTGAGTAACACGCACCCAACTCTCTATTTCTCAACCAATTTGAGCATGAAGGGTATATAGCGATTGATTTAGTCCTCTTTCAATTTTGTCATATATTATTGGATGGTGTATAAAAGATATAATGTAGCTCATCATGGTGCATATCGCTGTTAAATGACTACTCACTTGACTTCTCTCTAAAAATTATTAGTGAGAAGCATTTAAAAATAATTTATAGACAGAAAAAAATCCCCCTCAACTAGTGTCATTAACAATCGAGTGCGGTAATAGTTTGGTTCAAGAAGCTATAAGGGTCATATTTGTCAAGAGTTCGACCTTATTTGGTGTATATGATTGGCCTACTAGCTTATATTGGATTAAATAACTTACTAGATTCAATCAATATCGAACGAAGAAGTGGATGTACACTGCACAATTTGTCCAAGTAAATGTGGAAGACGAATCAGTCATGACATAAACTTGTCCCTCCTAATCTACACAAGATTGGCAGGATTAGAATAATTTCTTTTCGTCACGTATTCATCTTTTACCTTTACTTTGTCAAAATGTTCACAAATCACTTAACATTTATTGAATTTAAAGAATTAATCAATTTCAAACGAATACTTTTTACCTTCACTTAGTCAAAATGTTCACAAATCACTTGACATTTATTGAATTTAAAGAATTATCAATTTCAAACGAATCCCACCCATCAAACAAGGCCTAGTTGTAGTCAAAATGTTCATAAATCACTTGACATTTATTGAATTTAAAGAATTATCGATTTCAAACGAAACCCACCCATCAAACAAGGCCTAGTTGTAGTCAAAATGTTCATAAATCACTTGACATTTATTGAATTTAAAGAATTATCGATTTCAAACGAATCCCACCCATCTAACAAGGCCTAGTTGTTTTATCATTTGTCCTGTACCTCTAAACTATCATGTGCAGAATGGCGAAGCTATAAATTATGGGGATGTCTATCTGTTTGGCTTTGGAAGACTAAACCTGTGTGGCTGCCACTGCCAGGTATCAGTTTTTCATTGGAGCGTGGATCTACATATATTTTTTTTGACTTATCATGCATTTTTTTTGTTAATTTATGTCTTTTAATCTTCTTCAATTCTTGCGATCAAACGGTAAAAATTTTAAAAAATATGTAGAATCAACATCGTACCATGACTTTTGAGACAGACTATGTTGAATTAGTCAAGCACTGAATGGAAGTGTGAGGTTTCAAACCTAATCACGTTTTGTAAGAATATCAATCCGTTGTGCGATATGTCCCATACGGCAACCCACTTGGCCTCTCCTGTCAAACAGAAGCTTCCAAGCTCCTTATCCTATCACCTCTGTGTTCACAACCTTAACCTCTTTCTAGGTCAAGCAGTTACTGTATCTGTAATGTAGTGTTCCCCCTTCAATAAGTTAGAAAAATAGTTATTATTGAATATTAGTCACATTCTGCGTTACAAGCACGTTTGATGTATGAATATTGTCTAAACTGATAGATTAACAGTTTTAAATTGTTTAAATATGCTCGCATCGACAAACAATTTCTAATATCATACAAGATGAGAACTAGAATGGACTTGAATATCACGTGACGATAATCTCGTTAACAGGCTAAATTACAGCCACCTAATAATCCTCAGTGTTGTGTTACAACCAGTAGATTGCGCCTTAATGTTCTGATCAGAAATCCAATATTGTATAACCACTTGATCGGAAGAAAACAGGGACAGAGGATTGTGGAGTGACGGCTACGCCCATTGACCTGGTTGACTATAAATTTGTTTTAGTTGGAAAAATGCATGTGGTAGGACCGGCAGGAAAATTGACGATGAAAAATAGACTAAACTCTACGGAAGCATCTTTGACTACAATGCTTTTCTAATTCTAAGAACAAATAATGCTACACTTATTATCTGGTTGTTCCATTATTTATAGCGGAGTTATTTTTATTACAATTTTATATCATATTTTTTTAGCATCTTAGGTGGTATATGAGTTTGAGAAGTTACATAATTTAATTTTAATATTTTTTATTAATTAAAACACTTAAATAATCTTAGATGGCAGAAGAAGACTCTTTGTATACCATAATCATAATTTAATTAACAAATTTTTTATCAATTATTGATTAATATTTTGAAATTAAATGCTAATTAATTTAGATGATGTAGTTGTCCACATTAGAAGCCATAAGGTGGTATATAATTATGGTAAAAAAATATGGTAAGAATAAAATTATTGTTTATAGCGAGACCCGCCAACCTATATATACACACATCAGAAGCCATTCAGAGTAAAAACAAAAAACCAGAAAATATGAGAACCAAAACTCTGAACGTCCCCTCCGCCCTGCTCTGCTTCTTCTTTCTCAGCTGCCACCACCTCCTCCGCCATGCACAAGCTCAAGTTCCCAGCACAGAAGGATACACCTGCGCAGCCACAGCCAACCAAACCGCCTACCCATGCCAGACCTACGCCTTGTACCGAGCCCTCTCCCCCGACTTCCTCGACCTCGCCGCCGTCGGAGACCTCTTCCAAGTCAGCCGCCTCATGATCTCCAACCCCAGCAACATCTCCTCCCCGACTGCCCCCCTTGTCGCCGGCCAACCCCTCTTCGTCCCCCTCTCATGCTCCTGCAACTCCCCCAACTCCTCCATCTCCATTTCCTACGCCAATATCTCCTTCACCATCAAATCCGGCGATACTTTCTACCAGGTCTCCACCCACAACTTCCAAAACCTCACCACCTACCAGTCCGTCGAGGTCGTAAACCCTAATCTGGAAGCCACCAACCTAACCATCGGCGTCACCGCCTATTTTCCGATCTTCTGCAAGTGCCCCAACAGAACCCAGTTCGGAAACGGAACCAATTACCTCATCTCGTACGTTTTCCAGCCGTCTGACAACATCTCGACCGTTGCTTCATTTTTCGGGGTGCAAGCAAAGGCCATAACCGATTTAACGGCAACAACATCCAGCCTTTTGACACGATTTTCGTGCCGGTGGCTCGCCTTCCAGTACTCTCCCAACCCACTGTTGTTCCTTCTGCTGCACCGTCTGGGAAGACAGAGAGGAAAGGAGTGATCAGAGGGCTGGCAATTGGGCTGGGAATTACCGGACTTGTGCTGATTTTCGTTGTCGGGTTTTTGATTTACAGAGACGGATTGCTGAAGAAGAAGATTGATGGGAAGGGAGATGAGGAGAATAAGGTTCTGTACAGGAGCAAGCAGGGGTCGGAGAGGCGGAAGGAAATGGAGGTTGGTTTGATGGCGGATGTTTCGGATTGCTTGGACAAGTACAAAGTGTTTGGGATTGAAGAGTTGAGAGAGGCCACAGATGGGTTCAGAGAAAGTAGCTTGATTGAAGGGTCCGTGTATAAAGGCTCCATTAATGGAGATTTGTATGCCATCAAGAAGATGAAGTGGAATGCCTACGAGGAGCTCAAGATTTTGCAAAAGGTATTTCACCTTCTTCTTTTCTTCTCTGTTTTTGTTTCTTAATTTTTAGGTACTTGGTAAAGTTTTCGTCTTTTTGCGTAGCACGCACTTTAGCATTTGTTAGGTTCATGAGTTCACATGGAAACAAGGACTTTGCTACAAAAATTATCAAAACAAGGTTCACTTTGATGAGTGTAAAAGGAGAAACTGGGAGTACGAAAATCACTACCCTTAAGTTTTAGTATTTAGATTTATATCTAAAAAGTAATAAAATAAAGGGTTCTTTAGGTATAAGCCCATGCAACACTTATTTCCTTGACAAAAACCCATCTCGTTTTAAACATTCAAATAAAACCCAAATTTGAAATAAATTGCCATGTAAACAAATAAATACCTATTATTTTTAAAATATTTACAATTGTGCCACAACACTTTAATTATGTTGATGAATTTAATTACCACCATAATTATAGCAAATAAGTGCTTTATTATTACAAAAGTATCTACTTTATACTTGTCTTACCATCATCTGTTCCATTTCTTTTTTTTGTTTGACAATCATTGTAGGTAAATTATTTTGCATGTATACATTATTCACATTTTGTTGTTATTATATCTGTGTGAAATAAATTACCTATATTTTTAAGTAGAATAAAGGTAATTAATTAACTTTGAATCAATTGGCTAAAAACATCCTTTGATTTTGTAGGTAAATAATTTTGCATGTATTATTACATATACTAGGCACATTTGTTATTATTATGTGTTGTTTGCAATCAATCAGGGCCGGCCCAGGCCCAGTGCAGGAGGGGCGACCGTCCAGGGCCCAAAAAAATTAGGGCCATCAAAATTATTAGGGCGATATATTTATATATATTTTTATAAGAGTATAAATTTATAAAATTTGATTCAAAGACACAAAAATTTAACTAGAAGTGGTGGTTTGTCATTTGAAAATAATAAGGAGGTATTGGGTTCAAAACATCATGTGTGCTTATTTACTTTCCTTTTTTTTACAAATTTCTTTTTATAAGAGTATAAATTTAGAAAATTTGGTTAAAGGATCAAGAAGTTTAATTAGAAACAATGATTTTTTGTGTTTAAAAATTAACAAGAGGTCCTAAGTTCGAAATGCTATGTGCATGTTTATTCTTTTCAATTTTTACAAATTTTTGTTTGGTTGGTAATTTATTTTTAGTTACTATCTAGTAGCTATGTGGGTTGTTATTTTTAAATATTCGTTTTAATTCAAGTCTAATCTTCAACAAAGAATAATACGTAGACCAAATTTGCAAATTATATGACGTGTCATCAAAATGTTTAATTTAGTGCCCATTCATTAATAATACATATCAATTAAAGACTCGAAAACATCATTATTTTTTAGTCCCATATTGACAAGGTTAGTAATAAGAAAAAAAAACACCTCACGATTTATTCAAAAACACATTCAAAGTTCAAATGGAAAACAAAACTCATCATCTATCTACTTGTAAGCCCGAAGTTTTTTTGTTTCCCTCTCTCAATACAAAATAAATTAGTCTTTCTGTGTTTCTAAATTATTGAGTTTGAAGTGTTTTTCTAAGTATAATTTTTTTGATATCTTATGGGTGAAAATAAATAATTTTCTTACATAAAGTTAGGGCACTTTTTTTTACGTCACCCCGGGCCTCAAAAATCTCTAGACCGGCCCTGCAATCAATCAACATTCATTTATTCAGTAGGTAAATTACAAAAGTATCCACTTTATACTTGTCTCACCATCATCTGTTCCATTTCTTATATTTGTTTGACAATCATTGTCGGTAAATTATTTTGCATGTATACATTAGGCACATTTTGTTATTATTATATCTGTGTGAAATAAATTACCTATATTTTTAAGTAGAATATAGGTAATTAATTAACTTTGAATCAATTGGCTAAAAACATCCTTTTATTTTGTAGGTAAATTATTTTGCATGTATTATTACATATACTAGGCACATTTGTTATTATTATGTGTTGTTTGCAATCAATCAACATTCATTTATTTTGTAGGTAAATTATTTTGCATGTATTATTACATATGTTAGGCACGTTTTGATATTATTATATATATGTGTATGCAAATAGCTTAAATAACTTTTGAATCAAACAATATTTATTTATTTATTACATAGGTAAATTATTTTGCATGTATTATTTTACCTGGAACTTATATTGTTATTTTATATATGTAAAATATTGGTAATTTGAATAAAATAACATTTGTATATTTGTGAATAAATGCTAATTTACTTGTTACAATTATTTGAAAGGAAAAAAATGCTCATTTTTACATAAATGTGAAAACAACCATATAAGGAAACAAAACTCTAATGTCATGTAATTTTTGTTATTAATATGCATTGAAATCATGACACTCAAAATTTTCTTTTCCAAATCTGCATAAACATTTCAAAACATTTAATTGAATGACATAATATCATATAAATGTAGATAACAAGTAATAAACCCAAAATCAATAATATTAGGGGTAATTTAGACATCCAAAAATACCAATTTTGCCAAGTCATACTTAATTATGGATATTGCTTAGTTGGAGCCTAGTCATTGGGTTTTTATTAGAAAATTTTACAAATGGGGGTTTTAGTTAATGAAAATTGAATTCCAAGGGGTATACTCATATTTTCAGTAAAATAAATGAAACCTAAACAAACTTTGTGAAACGTTGTTTCGGATATGAACCGTTGTCAAATTAGGCGGTGTCGGCTCATTTAAATGATTCTTCTCCTTCAGTTTAAGCAAAACTTGTTACTTAAGCAAAAACATGGCGTTTATGAAGGTTGTTCTCTTTTAATTATTAATTAGCAGTTTAATGTTCGTAAGCATGTTTTGGCTGGAGGGACACGAACAAGGTCACAAATAGCGATTTTTCTTGAATACCTACAGGCACTCTCAACGCCTTACACATATTTGACCGTTGGATTATCCGACAACTTAAACTGAGTGACCGAAGATTGTCAGATTTTATGCAAATATGTGTGGAAACTTTAGTGTCTGTAAGTATTCAAGAACAAACGCACAGACAGTAGAAGATGCAGACTTGTTTGAGCCAAAGGTTGAAACATTCCAAAAGATAAAGGATTCAGACTAGGACAGCTCTTGAGAAGCCTCCTTATAAAACTGATCTGTTGCAATATTCAGTTAATTACTGCTAATATATGATATGATTTGGGTAATCTGGCAATGTGACTTGTCTGCTTACTAAGTTTTTTAAGTTTTTATAATAGGATATCTTGTTTGGCAGGAAGCTTTAGATATTAATTGTGTTTAAAGCATTCTTAGGAAGAAAACAATGCTAGGAAAAATGTCTGCCGTCAGTGGTGTCGCATTTGTGGCCCAATTAAATGGATATTCAAATGTAAAGCCTTTGAATGTAGCCATAGATGATGTAAGCGTGGGTTAAATTAGTTGGCTTGCACTATCTTATTAAATTTGAATTCTCTTCTCATAAGTTAGAGAATAATTTAAAATATCGTCACGGTAAATCAAAAGTCAAATGAAGTATAAGGTGAAAGATAACAAAGTGAACCATGTGCAGAAACTTACAATTTGGTTTTTAGTCATTCTATTTAGTTCAGTTGTTTGTTGGAGAGTATTGCAGGGCCCATTCAGTTGTTGGAATCATTTTTCATGTTATTTTAATAGGTTTGGTGAGGTTAAAGACAACATTTACTTACTTTTCTCTTTTCTTTTATATCCGTAATTTAATATAGATTAGAGCAGTTTAGAATATATACCATTCATCAAGTAGTTTAGAATATTTATCGCGTTGTCCGGAAAATGAAAAGAACATTGAAGATTTTACTTCAACTGGGGTGCATATGAGATTGCTTCTCATACTTGAACTGAAAAACTTTGATGACTTCCAATATACTGTTATTAGCAGACATTTTAACTACTTTGCATAGGGTACTTTAATTAGTTAGGAAACATGATTAGTATGTGATTATGTGCACAATTTTCAATTATAATTGACAAAATACTGGCTTTTCGAATTTCGAAGGTAAACCATGGCAATTTGGTGAAGCTGGAGGGTTTCTGCATAGACTCGGAGGATGATTGTTGCTATCTAATTTACGAGTATGTAGAAAATGGTTCTCTTTATTCATTGCTGCATGAAAACAAGAATGAAAAATTGAGTTGGAAGACAAGGCTGCAAGTTGCTATTGACGTTGCAAACGGTCTCCAATACATTCACGAGCACACTAGGCCGAGGGTTGTGCACAAAGACATCAAGAGCAGCAATATTCTCTTAGATTCGAACATGAGAGCCAAAATAGCCAATTTTGGGCTAGCAAAGTCTGGTTGCAATGCCATAACAATGCACATTGTTGGAACTCAAGGCTACATTGCACCAGAGTATCTAGCTGACGGGGTGGTGTCAACGAAAATGGATGTTTTTTCTTTTGGAGTGGTGTTATTAGAGCTCATTTCGGGGAAGGAGGCGATTGATGAAGATGGAAATGTTTTGTGGACAAGTGCTGGTAGGATTTTGGAGGGAAATGAGGAAGAGAAGGCAAGGAAACTCAGGGAGTGGGTGGACAATGAACTTTTCTTGGAGTCATGCTCAATTGAGAGCATACTGAATGTTGTGACTGTTGCCATTGCTTGTTTGCATAAAGATCCTTCAAAAAGGCCAACTATGGTGGATATTGTCTATGCCTTGAGTAAGAGTGATGATTTGTTTTTTGACATCTCCGATAATGGATCATCGGCTCCCCCAGTAAGAGCAAGATGAATGGCGAGGAACTCTTTTGGCTTTCATCACATTTAGGGAAGGCAAGGGTTAGAGTCGAATTCTTGCCGTGTCTAAGTATTTATTATGTACCTGTAAATAAATGTCATGTATCTGGCATTTTCGGGCATGTGTTCGTACTCGTAATATTTTTATCATGGTGAGTAAAATCTGTTAATTACTGCTCAAGTGGTAGGAAAAAAATCATTTGGAGCAAAAACTCAAATTCAAGAGCTATGCAACCAACTGGCTATTAATTTAGCGGTATTCTCTTCCAGACTATTGAACTAGGTGCCAAGTTTGAACCACGTTTTTCTGGCAAACTTTGCATTCAAAAGCTGAAACCCAGTTTCGCAATTCCATTCCAATGAAAAGCTGTAAAGATTTCAACCGTAAACTAGAAAAAATTTAGGACAAGTGGGCAAAAAAGTAGTTGTAACTTGTAAGATGGGGGAGTTGAGCCGGGCAGCACACTAGGTAAAGGCATCATCATCATCTGTACGATCTGAGCAGCCGCTGGCTGTTGAATCCCATTTAAACCGTCTGTTGACTTCTTTGTTGGTTTGCCACCCACTTTTAGAGAGGCGTCCTAATAACTCGAGCAACATGTGACGTGCTTGGTCGGTATGATCCCACGCTCCATAAATGGTGGTTTGTGTACAAAATTTAAACACCTTTACCCAACCTGCATCAGTATCAATCATTTTAATGTTCTACTTAATTACACGTTTATACTACTGAGCTCGGCAACATTTATATTTAGTAGAACTTCTTATATGCATCTGTTCTGTGCTAAGCAAGTGCTTTCCGATGTGGAACTCCGTCCACTTAATTTGTAAATTATGAATCATGGTTGTCCCAGACTCGCATAGCACGAGACAACTTTGTACAATAGCATTTGCAGGTATCTACTTGCCACACTTCTATTGTTTCTTGTTGCTTTTGTTTTTCATGGTCATTTTTGCTTTCGTTAGTTAGTAGCCTCTCTTTCGCATGCACTTAACACTCGTGTGAATAAAATCTTTCTATATAAAACATCTATTTTTCAAAACATGTCGATATAAGAAAATTCACTATAAGAATTAGTTAGAGCCAGTAGCGTAGGGTTTTATTTGTCCAATTTGAGTCTCCATGGATTTTACAATGATCTAGTGATATTCCTTTTTACTTGTAAGTAAGAGGTGTTAAGTTCGATTCTTGTCAAAGACGAATTTGAATTAAATTATTGCTAGCCCATTGTGAAGCTAAGGCAATCCCCCTCCCCTTAGTGTAATAATATCGTTTGTGTTGTAGGCATAATTTACTGAACAATTATGGAGGCTAGAAAAATAGAGAGGGTGCGGCATAGAGAGAGAAGACAAAGATGTGTAATTGTGGGTGTGTTCTATTTCACCCAATTATGCCTTTATTTATAGTAGTATGGAAGGTTAATTCCTTACCATTTTAGGATTACAACTCTAATAGGATATTAACTACTAAAGGGAATATTAAAGATATTCCTAGATACACTACGATTTACATAATCACATTCCTAATCTAATAGGACTGCAACACTCCTCCTTGAGTGTGTAAATAATCAAGTGAATGGCACATTAGGTATTCAGCGATAAAGTAAGTACAGTTGATGAAGTCGTTGACACAATGAGCGAACGTGAGTCTCAAATCAACGGAAGAATGCATAAAAAGTAAAACTCACAAAACCTTGCTATGGTAAAACCCAAGGTGGGAGAAAACCCATAGACTAAGGAGAAAAGTGAGAAGTTGCATTAAGTCAAAACTATACGTCTTTTGGACGCAAGTAGAAGAGCTCATAAGGGTATGATTAGCCCAAGATGGGTGCCTCGTTAAAACCTAGTTAGGTAGCAAAAACCCAGTGGGAAAAATGCTCATAATCGTAGGGAAAAATAGTACATTAAGATCAAGTGAGTATACTTCTGTATACTCCCCTTGAGTTTGGTAGAACTTCCAAATGAGAACTACAAGCATTGCATATGAATACTTAGGCATAACAATTCTTCATACAAGCTTCTGGAATGTTAACTTCAGCAGTGACGTCGTGTAAAGGTCGGCTAGGTTGTCTGGGATTGGCTTGCATGACTTCAATCTCCTGATGCTTTGCTGATGTAGATGTAGACGCAATATGTCTAGGTGTTGACTTCGTTGATATATCATGGCTTGGTCGGGTGCATACATGCTGCATAATCTTCATGGATCTTCGTTGGGACATAACGATGGATGAAAATAGCAAGTACTTCGAATATGCTCAACAATAACTTCTAACCATGTCTCACTTATGGTGTAGTGAAGTCAGGTGAGTCTTGGAACGATTCGAAGATTTCGCAACTAAGGTCATATCGTGGGCCTCCAAGATATTGCGATATCCATAACGGTAAAGACATAACCATTCGAGATTTTGCCTTGTGCGGGTTTGATAAGTAATCTGTGTCAAAATAACAAGGTAAGCATCATTTCGACGATCATGGGGTTGGATCTGCTCGAGATGTGTTGGGATTTGATTTACCCAAATTCATAGTACCTTCAGGGTACGTTTATAATACCAATCCAGTGGTTGCATGTAGGGGCGGTGCTGCATCTTTACCAAGATCAACAACGAAGAAGATGTCATGTCTTAATACAATGAGCTAAGTACAATGAAGCGCAAAGTTGAACTTTAGATATGGAATTTCGGATTCCATAACCTTTTTAAGGGTCTCATTTGCATATAACGTATGTACGATCATAGGTATACTTAAATGTAACACAATCAGGGTGTAGTTCGACTGGTATGCCAAGGTACCGTCAGAACAATGCTTCAGCTTCAGGTCAAGGCATAAACAAGTTTTCACAAGATCCTTCATCTCAAATTCCATCTTTAGGTGCGAGGCAGTTTTCTCAAACTCTTTCGGAGTCTTAGTGAGATTCGTCTCAACGACATAAACTGTAACTTTAGCAATTCGGAATAAGACTTCATAGTTTAACACACAAGGGCATAATTCATATCCCTGACCGATCAAATATTCACTTAGATAGGTATACCACATCTGTCAGATTGTAAGTGAACGCCTCAATCAAGTTAAGAGGGTGTTCCGTGGTTTGGAACTATTTGAACCAGTCCATGTAATTCTTCGGAAACTTACATGTAAATCTCTGTATCAATATTCCCATAAAGAAAACACTAACTGCATTTCATAATGCTGCTATCAATCACATGACGTTTGAGAGAAACCTTGCTCCATAAGGCGTGCATCATATTGCACTATTTCATTTATCTCATAACAATTCATTTCCCACTTGTAACACAACATGGTTACATTGGGCAGTGTAAGAACGACAAGTCCAATACACACTTTGGTAAGGAATTTGACCTGGATTGTAATTTCAATTGTCCAATCAGTTATACGTTGTCACTTAATCAACGAAACATGGATCGTCACTTTTCATTTATGTCGGTAACTTCCATATAAGTGAAAACATCATCGATGGTAATCTCATTTCAATTTTATTTAGCTCATCCAAACTAGTATACTGGACCAAGAACTTCAAGTCTCGGGAGTAATCCAGATTAATCTCATGAGATGGAAATGATTTGAGACAGCGATAAAGTATGGATTCATTTTTGTGCCGTGTCTTCCTCTTATAAGGAAGTGAATCATACGAACCAAGTGATTTGTCGTGCTCCAGGCTAAGACAGATTGATTGGCTATCCGCACATGTACCAGATCGTCCAACAGGGGCGTCCAAACCATTCAATAGGGGCGGCACACCCTCCAAGGATGTTGACTCGATGTCCGTTAAGTACGTCTATCCTTGCAGGCATGTTTGTAGCTGGTATATGATCTCGTCACTTTAGCTAGATCAGAGAAATGTGTCTGGAGCAACATTTTGAAAGTTAGAATTCATCGTACTTGCTTATCATACTTGTGCGCTATGAAGATTGAGATGAGACATAGTGGGGCAACGTCCACACAACTTCGCGCCGTTCTACAGGAACATTGACGTTCTTATCTCCCCCTAACGATGGGAATACTATCTCATTAAAGTGACAACTCGCAAATGAGCAGTAAAAGAGATTGCGTGCAATGGCTCAAAGAGAGCTAGTGTGAAGGAGAATCATAATAGATAAAGATTCACATCCTTCTTTGAGGACCTATGTTGGTACGTTGCGACAACTCAACTTGGCACATGGAATGCACACCCAAATGCGTAAATACGAAAATCGTCAGGTTCGTACCCAGTAACCAAATGTAACGTCACATAGGTTGGGTGGCAATGGGCCTCAAGGTGGACCAACATAGCTGCGTACAAGATTGCATAGCCCTAGGCAAAAAAACAAAAAACTTGGTATGTTCACCAAAATTCGGGCGATTATTGAAATTGCGCTTTTTGATTGCTAGACGAGGCTATTTGGGGTGAATCATGGGAATTCTTTGTTCAATTATAAACCCAAAATACAATCAATACTTTATCAAAAAACCATCGATATAAACTCTCCGGCATTATCCAATCTCCTGGACTTTGTGGGATAATTAGGGTGGTGAACCTTTAATCGGCCTGGAGGTTTAGCAACAATGTGTGTGAACAAACATGTGACCAGTTTATTGATTCATCAACCAAAACTATAAGAATTTATATGGTCCACATTTTGGTTGGATTAGTCCACATATATTCCATTGAATCCACTTATGAAAAATGGTGATTTCGTATCTTTGCGAGGGATGATTTAGAAGATCAATTTCCCTAATGAGCAGGTTTGGCAAAGTATGCTTGTAGGCACAAGATCCTTACTTCGGGTAAGGAGATGTGTCGTAGCATCATTGTTCGACCTAAGTGTCCCAAAAGGTCATGCCAAAGCAAGTAAACCGCTTAATCACCCGGTTCCAGGCCGGCTATATGTGGTGTGTTCCCAGTTGGGAGATAACCCATTGGCCCCAAATCAAAGCTTCATGCTCATTTTTGGAGGTGGTGCAAAAATATTTCACTTTATTTGTGCTAAGATAAAACAGAAAATTGACTATTCATGAATCATGCTTCCAACATATTATTGGCCTTTAGGATGAAGATTATTTTAAAAAAAATCAGAAAAATTTGTCCAAAGAGCCTTTTACTTTATAAATTTATATAAGTAGATAAGAGTTTGAACTAGTATATCAATTTGTGCAAATTCTTGGATTGTTATTGACAAAGAAATCTTTCAAAAAGGGCAACCATGGTGATATCGTCTATGCCTTGTGTGAGAGTGATGACAATTTGTTTTTCAACATCTACGACAATGGATCATCGGCCCTCTCAGTAAGAGCAAGATGAATCACGATGAATTAAGGTTGTTTTTTTTCGTTTACGCTTTTATCTAGATCGGTCAGGAAAGATAAAATTAGAGTCGAACTAGCTATTCTTTTGCAATGTTTGTAGATGTGCCAAGTTTAAATCTCCTTCTACAACAATACATGCACTAAAGAAATTATTAGGGTAAATTATAATTTTATGTAAAGTCAATATATCTATATGTATTACGAAATCATATGAAATGGATGTTATTATTTTATTTTGGATTTAAGAAATACGATGAATTATCCCTAAACATTTCAATCTTATAAATTAGTTATTATTTTAGTTTAATTTCGTACAACCGTTATCACTCCGTTAAATTAACTGTTAAGAGATGATGTGGCAAACGTGGAAACCACACATTTTGATTTAAAGTCCAATTTGTGCCACAGGAGAGAGAGACAGAGCTGAAGAAGGAGATTGAACAAAGTTTCACACTTTGAGAGGTCTGGGATCGGACCAGTGAATTGGTTTTTATGAAGCCAAACCTGGGACAACTGGGTCATGTTTGCTAGTACTGACGTGCATGCCTGAGTGCTTTATTTCAAGCTTCTCAACCACACAACATTGAATGACATATTTCACGCCAGTACAATTGGATTTAGCATCCCCACCTGCCCCACCTTCCCCACCTTCATTGCTTCTTGTGTTGTCTTTGTTCTCCATCGTCACTTTGTCTTCACTAAAGTGATCACTCGTCTCTTGCTACGCGTCACACGTTGAATTAATTTTTAAATAGTAGTATAGAAACTCCAAAGGGTTGATCTAGTGAAAAGTGAGCAAAGAATTGGAGCTTTCAATCCGAATTTGAACTTCCACATATGCATTCCTTGGGCCCATTGGCTCTGCTTTGATGTGTCGTTTGATTCGGGTGCTAAAAGTATGCCCACCGTCTCTTGCGGTATTCGGGCTACATGGAAAGAGAAATTAGTATGTCACCAACTCTTTGACAACACGAAAAATCATATTTCAACTCTTTGACAACATGACAAACCAAAAGCTCTGCCTCTTCTCTATCTATCCAAGGGATGGAAGGGACTTTGGGATGAAAAAAAAAAATTGCGGGTTTTTTTTTTGTTGAACAAATAATATATATATATATATATATATATATATATATATGTATTGTATACCTTTGCTTTGCATTGAAAAAGAAAAAACCAATAAAAAAAATGATATGATGATTCAACCTCAAACCCATTGAATGTGGTGGATAACAGCATTGCTTAAGAATTGATGTGTATTCGAATCATAGGAGCTAGTAATCGACGATATGCTCATATTGATGACATTATTATGAGATACCTTCAACATTATAAAAAGAATAGTAGTATAGATGTAGGACATGTCAATCCCCTCCATAAAATTTTCATGTTTCATCGGTAAAAATTGTTCTTATAAAGTCGATTTATATTATAAAAAGTTATACTTGGATCCTTTTCCATCCAAGTAGGCATTCTAACTTTCTTGCCAACCATGTGGTTGGAGTTGAGTTGAATTACTTCCACTACTGTTAAATTAGTTTTAGGATCCTTCATGGTATCATAGCCTATTTTCGTTTTGTTTGTATCATACCTTATCAGTTCTAAAATTATTGAGTACCAATTAATTTTATACCTTCAGAGCCCCATTGAAGGATTTGTGTTGAGGCACTAGCCACACTACTGCCGAAACACAAGAGTTTCTCTCAAACCAGAAGACCAATCACAAAACGACATATGTTAATATCAAAATAAAGCTCATAGAGTTCCAAATCGACCTCGGACAAAAGTGTGTGACTCTCCTCAACTATTAAAGGAGACCATTCTCCTACAACTAATGAATAATGACATTATTCCACTGAACCCATTATTAGAACTTACTAATGATGATTATGTTTGAACCTTTGTGTTATGTAAACTCTATATTATTAAAGAGAACTCCACTATCTTCGTGGACGTAGCCCAACTTAAGGTGAACCACATATATCTTATGTTTGTTTTCTTGTCATTATCTCTTTACATATTACCTGCACTTGACTGAAGTAACCTTGTGAATGTTACAGCTAGACACTTTAACGAATGTTACAGCTTGACACTTTACGTTGTTCCAAAGTCTATTATATTTTGTGCATCAACACGTGTTGATCTCCAATTAAAAAGAAACCAATCATATCCTAATAAGTTCGGATATTATTTTATTCACGTGAGACGCTGATGCATTGTTTGATTGTTGTTGATGAGATCGGAATAAGAAAATCAAGAACCACTTTTGGCAATCCTAATAAAACAGAAATACCATCAAATATTAGACTTTTGGTGTTCTTGTTGATGAACAATGAACAATCGACGACAAAGGGTTGGACAACGACTATCCACTGTAGTTGCAAGCATGCAAAGGAAAGGAAATGACTTTTCGGGGAGGGACCAGGTTGTCCACGTTGGATTTCCCGAAAAATCCCAAATTTCATGATTTCCCCACTTTTCTCTGTTTCTTTTTTTTTCCAAAATTCCACCTGTTTTGTTTAAAGTTTCTGTTGTTTCTCTCATCGGCCCCGGTTTCCTTCTTCTTTCTTCTGAAACCTCGAAACTCCAGAAAAAAACAGCTCTGGCTGACTGTAACAAACATGGTTCTTTTGAGTGGTCAGCTGCACAGATTGCAGCTCTGCGTTTTGCCTCCTCGGGTTCCGATCTCCCACCGTTTTTCTTCCCCAAAAAGGTATTCAGAATTTCATTTCTTCATCTTTTCAATTACCAAAAGTGATTGTTTTTTTTTTGGTTGTTTGTAAGGCATTGGCATTGGCATTCATATGGGTTTTCTTCGCATTCAAGATCAAAGGGTTTATATTATTGATTGGTTTATGGACTAGTAATGCTATATTGTGCCCTCTGCCCACACTAATCTGGCTTAATTGTAGAAATCGTCCTGAACTATAGTTCGAGTTGCATTTTCGTCTCTGAATTCGAATGTTAGATTCTTTAGCCTCCAAATTTGGTCCAAGGTTTACACTCTTGGTCATGAAAGCAAACTAATTTGGGGCATTTGGTTGGTGGTAACTTTTGAACCTTTGTTTTTGGGTTAATCTTCGTGTGTTTCTTAGATATTTGTGAACTGGCTAGGGCTTGAAATTGTGAATTGTTGATTGTAATGTGAACCGAGAGATTTCAGGTTTTTAACTAATTGGGTTTTTAACTAATTGGGTAGTGCCAATTCTTTGTTGGAAGTGTGAACTTGTTGGTAGACAAAGGTGCCGTGTATGGAGAGGAAGTACGGTGCTAGGGGAAAGGGAGTGATCAAGATGAGTACTTTTTGTGAGGAATTTTTCTGGGTTTGATTCGCCTTTCCTCTTCAGACCGGCATACTGAATTTCTGAGATTCTATATACTTTAGCTCAAATTTTACTGTTTCGCATGTCTTCAATGAAATGGTCTACTTAAAGTAGTAATAAATGGCTTTTGCATGCGTTGCTTGTTTAAAAGTATGTGTTCTTCCTGTAGAGTAGGAATTTACTAATGAAAATTAGTTGATGTCTGATGCCGTATGCATAAGTTCTCCTGTCTACTTAAAGTAGTAATAAATGGCTTTCGCATGCGTTGCTTGTTTAAAAGTATGTGTTCTTCCTGTAGAGTAGGAATTTACTAATGAAAATTAGTTGATGTCTGATGCCGTATGCATAAGTTCTCCTGGCTGAGCTCCGTTTCATAATCCTTATAAACTGTTAGGCTATCAACATTTAAGTTTTGAACGCAGCATATAGTATTATGTATAAAAAGCTTCCGACTTCTATCTGAAGCATATTGTGATAATACCATACTCTGTAACTGAGGGAAATTGTAATTTTGGAGTACATTTGCTGATGTCTGTATATGTGCAATGTACTCTATGATACATACATGGGGCAAGTGTTGAAGCACAGTTATCCTGAATTTTAGTGTAGACGAGCCATATGATGCTAACGTTGATGATACTTACCAGGAAATTAATGCCATGCCAATTTTGGTGGATCAAATCTTCGTCTTTACATGCAAGTAGTTTCATAGTACACAACAGAGGTGAGAATATTGTATGTATGCTTTATCATGTGTGAAAGCAAGGTATTGATAACTTACATTCGTTCATGTTTTACTTACGTTTATTCTTTTTACAGCGAAATGTGAGGCCAGTTCTCAAAGGGCAGAAAATGAGCTAGATTCCACTGTGTATATAAATGTTGCAGATGATTTGAATGACCAACTCTTTAATACAGACCCAATTAATATTTCTCAGGTGAGCATTAGATACAGACCCAATTAATATTTCTCAGGTGAGCATTAGATGGAAATTTATTTATTTATCTGTTTAATTTCTAACAAGAGCATTAGATGGATGAATCTGCATAAGAGATTGTAAATTTTTTTTTAAAATCTGAAAAAGAACATATCTTGAATTGATTAAATTGGATAACAGCTTAAACCCCTTTCAATGTTCCTCTATTTAGTGGTTTCACCTGTTTACTCTCTGTTATCAAGTATTTGTATCCATGATAACTTCAGATCTTGCATTTGACTCATGTCATGGCACTTCTAGTATTTAGTAAATTTCTTGACAGAATTTTCTGTATATGCAGGTTCTCGTAGCTAAAGTCACGATGGGATTGCTGTCCTTATATTTCTCATTTAGGCTAGGACAGTCAAATGTTTTTCATACTTTCATTAAGATCGTCCAAGCAAAACTTCCCTCTATCATTCAAACTTTCGGGGCTGCCGCCTTGCCCTTTGCCTGTGTTTCTAATTCATTGAATAAACCTGTCCCTCTTCGGTTGGATGTGTCTTTTCCTTCATTTCGAGACATTAGATGGAGCTTTGCACGGTTACTGTATCTATTTAACATCCAACTTGAAAAGAATGTTGCCACGTAAGTGAAGATATCAGATGGAGCTTTGCATGGTTTCTATATCTATCATTTCATGCTTGTAATTTGTTTGGTCTATGTTCTCATTTAGCTAAGTTCTTTTGTAAATATTTTTTAGGTTCTTTCTGGTGCTCCTGGTAGCATGCTTCTCATTTGTTGTCATTGGTGGTTTCCTATTCTACAAGTATAGGTAACCTATAATCCTTTCTAAGAGCAGTTCGAATTACTTTCTCTGGCATATTCTGCTTCATGTTGCTTTATCGTATTTCATTAAATAGCATTTTTTTCCTCGTGTCTAGACTATCAGATTGATGCAATTATTGGCCCATTTATAACAGCTGAAGTTTTCTAATATGGTATCACCATATCAGAGCTTTGGTGGTAGCAGCCTAGCAGGGGGTACTGGATGTGGAACCCTCAATCCATTCCCCATTTCTTTGGTGCAGGGTGGGGTTTCAGCTATATTTTTCTTTCCGTTTGATTTTAACATACAAACAAAGAACGTGTTCGTGAGAGGGACAGTGTTAGATTGATATACATTGTTGACCAGTTCCCTAACAGCTTAAGCATTTGGGGTCCATCTGAAACAATATGGTTTCATCATTTTCTTGCCCTCTTCTTCACAAGGGTCTCAGCATCTTAGACCAACAATTATTTTGTATTCTAACACCTCCCCGTCAAATGTGGGCCTCTCTTCACTATTAAAGCCCAACATGTGGGATTCAACTTATATTGGTTACACTTGCAGGATTTGACCAGGATTTCCTGCTTTGATACCATGCTAAAGTTTGTTGTTACCACACTATTCCGAAAAATTTAAGTTGTTACGATGTGGGCTGACAAATATTTGATATTCTAACGGTTAAGCAGTCTTTTAATAGTATTTTTATCAAATGAATAAATTCCTCATGTTTGTTTACAATCCGGATGCATTTCAAATTACACAGGGGTAGTAATGAGTCTTTGGAGGACTGCTTCTGGGAGGCTTGGGCATGTCTGTGTTCATCATCGACACATTTAAAAGTGTGATTCCGCTTCCTAATTTTATCATTTGGTTCATTCTAAAAGTTTTCACTAATTCTGTATTTTCTTGGATGATTGTAAATAACATGCATTGTAAAATATACACTGCAGCAAAGAACACGCATTGAACGTGTTATTGGTTTTGTTCTTGCAATATGGGGCATATTATTTTACTCTCGCTTGTTGAGCACAATGACTGAACAGTTCAGGGTAAGTTCTTGGATCATGGAACATTATCGTACATCTAACTTATATGTAAATGGCATCCTTATGGCCATCATTTGCTCAGAACAATATGTACAGACTAAAAGAAGGCGCACAAATGCAAGTTCTGGAGACTGATCATATCATTATTTGTGGAGTGAACAGTCATCTTTCCTTCATACTAAAGCAACTAAACAAGTATCACGAACTTGCTGTCCGCTTAGGTACTGCTACAGCTAGGTAATCTATTTTTTGTACTCGAATGGAGTTTTTTATATCAGGATTGTGTGGTAAAATTACTGGATTGTGTTGTTGTCTTGCTTATATGTTCACAGGAGGCAGAGAATTCTTCTTATGTCCGATCTCCCAAGAAAGCAGATGGACAAGCTTGCGGACAATTTAGCGAAAGATCTTATACACATTGATATCCTTACAAAGAGGTAGGACTATAAGAAATCATCTAACTCATCTGCGTCTGATTTCATAAGGCCTCAGTGCAATAAAATAAAAAATTATCAGTAAGAAATGATGTAATGGGTAATTGGATTTGATAATAAAATTGAGACTTCGTGTGCTTCTGATTCTTACTGAGGCTCTACTCTTACAGTTGCAGCCTTAGTTTAACAAAATCATTTGAAAGAGCCGCTGCCAACAAGGCACGTGCAATAATTATACTGCCAACGAAGGGAGACCGGTGAGAACTTGATCTACTTTTACTTCTATGTGAGAAATTATATTTGAGTATACAAGGGTTTCGACAAAGTTTCTTTGGAATTTCCTAGTATTAGAAATTTCTTATCTCTCAAATGTGTTTTGACTTCACATCCTCATCTGTTTAGGTATGAAGTTGACACTGATGCTTTTTTGTCTGTTCTGGCTCTTCAACCTATTCCCAACATGGAATCTGTCCCCACAGTTGTTGAGGTATATCACTAATCTAGTCTTCGTACTGAACTTTGTTACGAAGTTTGCTAAATCATGTTAAATTTTCTGTGCCCAATGAATGCAGGTTTCAAGTTCCAATACATGTGAACTCTTAAAGTCGATCTCAGGGTTAAAAGTAGAGCCTGTGGAAAATGGTGCATCAAAATTATTTGTACAATGTTCTCGTCAAAAGGGACTCATAAAGATCTACAGGCACTTGCTTAATTATCGAAGTATGGTACAAGTGTCTGTTTGAACTATAACTGGTTTTCTTGTGATGATGCTTATGAAATTCTTTTTTTGAACCCTCAATATTAATACTATATGTATTACCAAAAGGATATGTGATTTAAATCCAACACTTGCAAAGTTAAAGATGAAATGTTATTGCTGTATTGATAATTTCTCCCATTTTATCGGATGTGTAATAAATCGATACTTTGAGCCCATCTTATATATCAATTTGAAATCTTTCGGTGGTAACTAGAACTTAGACCTGTCAACCCAAGTCATGCGTTGTTTCTTACTACGGTGGTTATTTTTACATCATATTGGTTATTAGGCAAATGGAACCATCTCTCCGATCATTTCTGAGATGACACACTAATTGATGTCATTTCTACTCAGTGCAGAAAATGTCTTTAATCTTTGCAGTTTCCCAAGTCTAGCTGGGCTCAAGTATAGGAGATTACGACATGGGTTTCAAGAGGTAACACCATCTGTCAAATGTAATTCTGGTAGTGAAGAACTTATAGCGGTTGGCTGATTGAGAATTTTTCTCTGACTCGATATCCCTTTCAGGCAGTTGTTTGTGGGCTTTATAGGAACGGGAAGATAGACTTCCACCCCAATGACAGTGAAATCTTGCGGGAAACTGACAAAGTATGAGAAGTTCTGACTTTTTTAATTTGAACTAAAACAATCACCAATAACTTTGATATTTCTTTTGACTTGTGAAAAATGGAATCATGAACACAATGTTTGTTAAAATTTTGTTTTGTACTTATCTCTAGACACTGATGGTTGGTTGGATTGTTTACTTTTGTGGTTCCTGTTTTTATTTATCGCGAGCAGACAATTAGACAAAAGTGTAGTAAAATTTGATAATTGCAAAATAGACGAAAGAAACAAAGATGATTATGGGAACCTGAGCGGATTCACTCTGTGACTGCTTCATTTGTTTTAGTACTTGCTTTATGTTGTTTTGCTGACTGAATGGGTCGTGGTTAACCATCATTTTTATTTATGAGTTCCTATTGTTCTGCACTTTCCTCATGTAGGTATTATTCATTGCACCTGTTAATGGGAGTAAGACACCCTATGTTACTTATTCAAATGTTGTCAAAGAAATAGGCGCTGATCAAAGTTTGGATGATCTAGAAACAAACGGGTGTACTCACCCGCATGCCTTGCAACTGGTGAAAACACGACTTGAGAATATTGTCAGGCGTCCCAAGAAACCAGGCTCTAAGGTGCAACTTGACTAAGACATAATTGCTTGAAGGTCACTAGGGCTTGATAGATTTGGTCTCCAATCTGAATAATTTTTTTCTTATTAATGCAGGCCTCAGACTATAATCTGGGACCAAAAGAATTTATCCTTCTGCTTGGATGGCGCCCCGACATCATAGAGATGATTGAAGAATATGACAATTATCTTGGACCTGGCAGTGTTGTGGTATGTTCTAATTCGCTTGGAACTCTTGTTGTGGATCCTATATTCAGCAATTTCCCTAAAATGTAAAACAATAGTAAAAGTACATTGTTACTTACGCAAGTGCATGTGTGATGGAATCTTGAAGAGGTAGTTATATTAAGCGGCTGCAAGACTCCAAAGTAACGGAAGGCAGTGAAATCTCTAATAAATCAATTACCCAGATCTGTAAAACATTAGTAAAAGAGGTAAATTGTTGCTTGTGCAAGTACATGTGTGATGGAACATGGAGTGGTGGTTATATTAAGTGGTTGCAAGGTACTCCAAAGTAATGTGCAGGCGGTGAAATTGCCAATAAATCAATTGGGATGTTATTGCAGGAAATTAACGGATTATAGGAATTTTTCTTCACCTTGAGGAAGCATGATAGAGACTGAGAAAAATAGATTTTTTGTCTGCACAACTGGGAATCGTTGTTTTATATGTGCAGGAAATTTGACACTTGATTAAACATAATTTTCATTTGATCACCTAGACTAAGTTTCTAGACATACATGCATTGGTGACTCACAATTCATCATCTTTATGCATGCAGGAAATTTTGTCAGATGTACCTTTAGAGGACAGAAAGAGGACAAGACAAGTTTCTGATCAAGGAAAACTCAAACATGTCAAGGTTTCTCATCGGGTACTGCCTCTCTCTTTCAACCTAGAGTAGTACCTTCTGGTGTTTCTTTTCTTTCTCTATAATATTTTTGCAGGGAAGTTTCCTTTTCCGCTTATAAACTTCCATTTTTTCCATGAGCTGCAGATTGGAAATCCAATGAACTTTGAAACCTTACAAGATACCATAGTGCATATCCAAAATTCATTGAAGAACGAAGATGTTCCCTTGTCGGTCGTTGTAATATCTGATAGGGAATGGCTTCTTGGAGGTGAACATACATGAATTCCTCCCTTTTTCTTGGTTTTATGTTGTTTTCAATTAGCTTTTGGTCAATTTGCGTTGAAGTACCCTCTCTTCAGATCCAACCAGGGCAGACAAGCAATCTGCGTATTCTCTTCTTCTTGCTGAAAATATTTGCAACAAACTTGGTGTAAAGGTAGGTCAAGTTCATCATTTCCAATTTTGTAAAAATTCAAACTTAGAGTTTAATTAATTAAATAGTTTTCACAATAACTTTGTCATAATCGTCACCTAGAGCAAACAAAGTAACAAGGTGGTGCATTGCAGGTACAGAATCTCGTTGCAGAGATCGTGGACTCGAAATTGGGCAAACAAGTAAACTCCGACAGACTTTTGTCACTGTTTATTATTTCTGTTGATATTTAATGTTATTGATTGTTATACACCCACAATCACTGCAGATCACAAGAATTAAGCCGTCCCTGACTTACATTGCCGCAGAGGAAGTAATGAGCCTCGTAACAGCTCAAGGTCTTGAATCCTTGTACTAGATTTAGCTCTCACAACATATAATATGGTTATTCCAAAATATTATAACAGGTAAATGATTTCTTTGTGCATAACAGTTGCTGAGAACAGTGAACTAAACGAAGTGTGGAAAGACATTCTAAACGCAGAGGGTGATGAAATATATGTAAAGGTAAGCGCCTCGAATCCTCAATTTTAATGTTATGATGTTGATCTCGATTGGACGTTGTCTTTTTTGTATTTTCGGCTAGAGGATTTGGATTGGATATCCATTAAACTGTATATTTAAACTTTGCCTGCTTTTGTTACGACAGGATATCAGCCTCTACATTAAAGAAGGAGAGAACCCTTCATTCTTTGAGCTTTCTGAAAGAGCACAACTGCGGAAAGAAGTGGCGATAGGTTATGTGAAAAACAACAAGAAGGTAAAAAGGTCTTGATTTGGATTCGGCTCCTAAATTGCTTCAGACTTCCCATTCATCTCTTATGCCATGTTGCAGGTTATTAATCCAGTTCCCAAGTCCGAACCCCTCTCCCTTGAGTTGACAGATTCGTTGATAGTTATATCCGAACTTGAAGGAGAACAACCTATCATTCTGGAGAACCAATCAAGTTGAAACGACCGCCCAAATTTTGCTCGTGAAAGTTTGAATCCCATGCTAAATGGAAGTACTCATGTTTTGACAGTGAAAGTGTTCTCCGAGCTTGACCATTGAACCGGCATTAAACTAGCAAATTGGTGAAGAGACTGTTTTAGCTTCTTTATTTTGCAGTATTAGCCTCTCTTTTGTTGTTAAGACCGTAACATTGATACAGACACCGCACTAATTCATGGAAATTTGTCCAATAAAGAAAATCTGGATTAACAGTAATAAGCATTGTTAGTCATGTTAATTATACCTTGATATTGTCCTTGTGTTCGAAATTTACAGTTTCGTCTAACTGTTCTAGTAATATGTCTCTTTCCGACGCTGGAAGACGTCCTAAGTTTGTGGGTTGAGTATGCCGTAAGGTACGCATTTTAGTAAGAAGTTAATTATAGCTGGCCACTTGTATAATGCTCTCTTAGCAACAGATCAAAGTCTGAATAGAGTCTCGTTCTTTTGGTCACTTGATGACGAAGGATTGATGGTCACTGCCCTTTAGATTTGATACCAAGGATTGAGATTTAAACAATAAAAACACGTCCATTTAACCTCAACGTTTGGTATCAAAGCCAAATGTGAGTGAGCATGAATTCCTTGGTCATCAGATGAGTAAGAGAACATTTTTATGGTGACCAAGAGAACATTCTGAGTCCGAGTAACAAAGGGTGATCCAAATCTGAATGCTTGATCATTCTCAAATCTCAAATAAGACCATGTGTAATGTTACATGTGTTAGAATGATATGAGTTTCTTGAGAATACAATTAAGCTATTTGCTTATAATACTCAATCAAATTCCACATAAAACAATAAAATACGATTAAAGAACGTCGTTACTAATGAAAATTTTAAGCATTCCAAGGTTTCACAATGGTATGATGCTTATTATAGGGATTCAATTCGTAATACGCTTGAAGTAATTTCACCATGAAATTGTTTGGCAGCTCATATAAGAGACTGAATATGATTAATAATACAGACTCAGTTGTTTGGTATATTTATATTAAAAAAGTACTTGGATAATTTAGGGCAGCGCTATTCATGGGCATTTTTACCCTCTACACACCTTCTGTTTTTATTTATTTTTAACAAATAATAGTATCTACACTAAGGATAGAGGAGTGAGCTAAGTCTTACAATGGGCGTATCAGAACCATGTGGTTCAACTTCGCATTTGACAAGAATTGACCTAAGACCTCTCACTTACAAGTGAAAAGAAATATCACTAGACCGTAGTACTAAGTGACCCCACACATTCTTGTTAATCATTGATTTTCATTAATTAATTCGATCCGACGGCTGAAAATTGAGAGAGTATGTGAGAAGTAAAAATAGGGGTGTGGATAGCACTACCCAAAATTTTATATAGGGCTTGTTTGGATGTGCTACTCTATAAAGCGCTTTTACTCACTAGTGTTTTTTGTTTGTAGCACTTTTCAATAACGCTTATATGAGGAAGTAGTTTGTTGTTTGGCATGCAACCAACTAAGCGCTTTTGTATTGGATAGAGGCGTTTTTGATATTAAGTAGAGTTTTTGGTTGTCAAATGAAAAAGCTTTTTCATTAATAATTCTCAATACTTTTTTCATAAGTATTTTTTGTACATAATTAGCATACAACTTGATTAAGGGTTGATGAAAATTCAATTACATAAAATAATGATCACTAACAAAATGATACATACTTAATGAAAATATATGTTTGTTTCTTAAAAACAAAAGGACACGTTATAGTTGCATGACAAACAAATGTGAAATAAGTATTAACTAGATATAAGAAGATTAACAATCCTTTCTCGTTCAACATCCATCTCTCGCCTATGAGTAAAATTTCATCAACAATTTCTTCATTTCTATGATCTTCCTCTTGTCCAGGCGGAAGTAGCTCATCATCATCATCATCATCATAAGGTTGGAACTCTTGATTTGTTATGAAATGATTCCTAATAAAATTGTGTAAGGCTATTGAAGCAACAACAATTTGTACCTGTTTTTCAAAAAGGAAGTTACGCATGAGACGAATCAATGTCTATCTATTTTTCCAAGCACCAAAAGTTATTTCTATTGTGCATCTTATGGATGAATGCCTCTGATTAAATTCATTAGTGTTGCTTTGTATTGTCATTGGAAGTTAATTTGCTATTAGTAGTATCTATGATCGTTAATGCGGCATTAAATCTTAACAGCAATACAAGCCCTTCAAACATGAAGGCCTTTGAGCAACCTGATTAGAAATATTTGACCTGCTCAAATGCATGTAGTATTTACAAATTAATTTTCATGTAGTATTTACAAATTAATTTTCGAAGCAAACTAAGTTGTAAATATATGTTCACAATGATACCTACCAACAAACTAGATGACCCGCCCGTACCTAGAGTGACTCTGGAGAAAGCAGAAAATACCTTTGGAATGTCAATGAACGATCACTAAATCCTAAAATTATTTTCGTGTAGTTCAAAATTCACAACAATTTTGATATAAATGACATATCAACAATCAAATTCACACACTACATTCAAATTTTAAGATAAGAAATAGCAAACATACCTCCACAAAGAATTTCAGGCGATGGAGATGCAGAGAAATTTGGGGGAAGATGGAGACCAAGATGACTTCTCCAGCCACCAAAATAATATGAAAATAAAGACTTTTGGGTTCTGACTTTTGGGTTCTTAACGTGCAAACATAGAAAAAATTGGTGATGGCAATTTTGATGTTTTTTTTTTTTTTCAAATGTAATGGCATTTTAGACTTTACAAATTAAAAAATAGGGATAGTTCGGGTATTGAAAAAAATTCATTAAAGGGGGCAAAATGCTTCCCTTATTTTCTGTGCTTAGCACTTTTAGGAAGGCCTTGCTTTTTAGAAAATGCTTATTACTGCTTCTAAAGCACTTTTAAAATATTTGCCAAACGACCATTTTTTAAAACTAAAGCGCTTTCACTCATTAGGAAGCGTCTTTGACTATTTTAAAGGCACAACCAAACGAGCTCTTAAAGAATTATAAATATTAATGAGTGGTTTCATTAATTTTAATAAATGTATTTCTTTTATATAAATTGGTTGCGAATTCGCCATTTATAAGATTCGAACATAAGACATCCCACTCACAAGTAAAGAAAAATGCTACTAAATCATAATACTAAGTGACAAGTTTAGCAAATATCTTAGCATTGTAGCCAAATTCTAAATGAACGGAACTAATTACAATATTTATATATATTTAATACAACGAACATCTAACCATCAAAATATTGATGATATTAAACACATATAAGTATTGCAGTTAAATATAAAGTGTGTACTTAAAAATAATAAAATATCAAGAAAGTTTAAGCATAGTTACTGAACGCTATGTTTAGCTCCGCATGAGACGGCGGATTAAGACCGAAATGGAATTTAGGTCAAACGCGAGGAAAATTTTATTTCGGCTCAACTTTTTTTTATTTTTATAAAGAAAGTAAAAAAGAGAAAACTCAACAAAACAAATTGCTCTTAGAAAGCGCTCGCTGTCATCTGTCCGTGCCCTCGGCGATTATTTGGAGAGGTAACGCCATGGCTCACGGTGGCTACAGCAAGCGGCGGGTGAACCCCGCCGGACGTCGGTCCAAGTCGGTCTTGGGCCCGGAGAAGAAGCCCAAGTCCGTCACCCTCAAAAACCAGATACGCTCCATCGAGCGCATGCTCCGTAAGGTAATCCCTCACTCTTTCTTCCTAATCTCCAGCTCTTTATCTGTTATTCCATTTCGACCTTGCTTCGGTTGTGGTCGATTTTGGGGTTAGGGTTTGGGTGGTTTGGGGGTTTTCAATCACCTAGTTCTTCGCTAGCCCTGCTGTGTGTGTATATGGACAAAAGTGTGTACGGTACACTGGAATTTCTGAGGAATTTGAAGGAATTGGAAAATGTCTGACCTAATACTGCTTGAATTAGTATTCATTTCGTAAGATTAGAAATTTGTAGTAGGCAACTTTGTGGTTTTATCTATTGATGAAGTGATAATCATCGTGAAATGCCTAACACGATGATTGTTTTCCTAAGAATTTACCAGCTGAAGTTAGGGAGGCTCAGGAAAAGAAGTTGGAAGGGTTCAAGAAACAGCAGGAGATTCATTCCCGTCTCGCTGTGGAACGCAAAATATTTATGCGTGACAGGAAGATAAAGTTTTTTGGTATAATGAACCGATTCCATTTGTTATTCTAGTTATTTTGTAGGTGAATTCTTGCATGATGTACGGCTTAATTGCATTGGTGGTGTATGTTTTGCTTTGAGTTGTGAAAGTAACGTGCACCTTTTTCAGAGAGAAGAAAGATAGAGAGAAGATTAAGACGTCTGGAGAAACTTCAACGTGCTTCTTCTGGTCAGGCACAAGATGCAGAGATTTTGTTGCAACTTTCCAAATTGAAAGAAGATCTTGAATATGTTAGGGTAAGCTATATAGTGGCCCGTGGTTTATCTGCTTTTAAGTTGATGTCGGTGCATTGATATGATAGTTGTAATTGGAAGTTTGGTATTTTTTCTTCTTTCATGAGAATATCTTAAGCTTATATTGACTTGAAATGTGAACTTCTACTTGACCTTGTGCCTTACTGGAGAAGAGCCATTTTTTTTTTACTTTGCTTGTTACAGACTTTGAATTGTTTTTTGAAATAACACTGTAGTTGTTTCAAATAATGTCAAACTAAAAGGCTGATATTTGTTGACCATCAGTTCTTTCCCAAGACCGAAAAATATGTCTCGTTGTTTACTGGAGGTGAAGATACAGATGTGATTGATAAGAGAAATAAGTTGCGTAAGCAGATTAAGGCCAATATAGTTGCTGCAGCAGCTAGCGGAAAGGATCTGGAAGGTATTTCTTTTATGCCTTACTTCCATCAGAAATTTTCTCGTAGAGTTATTCTTCATAAGATCAGGTCAAACAACCTCTATATAAGCAATAACTACCTGATGTTATGCATCAATATATTTTTTAGTATTCTGAAGTTGTTTGAGGGTGAATTCCTAACTTGGTGCAGCCTTATCTGAATATTTATTAAGGGTAAATACCACTTGAAAGAAAATATAGGATGAAAATACCTAGCAAAACATCTAGTCTTTCAATGAAGTTAATAGTAGAAGTAAGAATGGCTGGAAGATAACATATCAAACACAAACATCTACCAACTTATGCTTTCCACAGTTCTGCCATGCTATTATATTCTTTCAAAAATCTAGAAGATGTTTTATGTTTTCTCTGTGGGATGCTTGTTTTAC